AGCTCTTGCGGTGCAGCGGTGTCTGGGGCGGCTGCCAGCACTTTGATCTTCAGTTCATCTCCAGCCGGGAGCTTGCTCCTGCTGGTGCCTCCTGAAGCTTAAGGCAAGGAATGATGGCCTTGAGCACAGGGGCCTCTCGCCTCGCCATGCGAGGTCCCCTGTGCCGGGCCACAGCCAGCCAGGCCAGCCACGCCCCAGCGTCCCCACTTCTTCTCCCTCCTCCAGGCAGCCCCCAGACAAAGCCTGGGACTTCTTTCCTGAGGCCCGCAGAGGCCGCGGAGCGCCGGTGGTCTGCCCTTGAACCCAGAGCAGCAACAGACGGCTTCAGACTGTGTCTGAGCGGCCACTTGGAGGAGACACTCCCAGCCGTGTCCGAGCACAGGGGGCTCAGCGCCTGGCCCTGGGGCCCTGGCCACCTGCTGTCACCACGTCCCTCTGACAAGCCCCTTCTAAGGGCCGGTGCTTGCAAGGCTTCGGTCTGCTGGGGTGCGCCTCTCTGCATCAGAGGCACTTTGGTCACGTCAGCGTCGTGGATCTTCTGGGGGGGGGGCACCACGTGACCCGTGAGCCTGGGACACCTGGGTATCCACGTGTCACATCATTTACAAAAATTGACTAAACATGATCAAAAGCCTCAAAGAAGGAGAATATGCAGGCTACGTCATCTTCCTGATATCAGACCGGGCAAAGCCTTCTCAGATGTGACACCGAGAGCACAGCAATGGGAGAAAATCATTTGGGTGGGCTTTGCGGCAGAGCTGGCCGCCTGGGACCCCCTCTGAACCCCGCACTGGAGCGCCCTTTCGAGTCCCGGATACCCTGCTTCTGATCAATCCCTGCTGATGCGCCTGGGGGGCAGTGGAGGATGGCCCAAGGACCTGGGCTCCTGCCCCCCATGTAGGAGACCCGGATGGAGCTCCTGGCTCCCGGCTTTGGCCTGGCTCAGCCCTGGCTGTTGAGGGCATCTGGGGAGTGAACCAGAAGATGAAAGATCTCTCTCCTCTCTCTCCATCTGTCCCTCTCCCTCTCTCTGTCACTCTTTCAAGTAGATAAAAGTAAATAAAAATAAGCATTTTTAAAGAAGTAGCGAATTTGAACATCAGAAGAAATAAAAACATTTATGTGTTGAAAGACACCATCAAAGAAAGAAAAGGCAGGCTTGGGCATTGGTGCAGCATCTTAAAAATGCTACTTGGGGCCAGCGCTTCGGCTCACTAGGCTAATCCTCCACCTAGCGGCGCCGGCACACCGGGTTCTAGTCCCGGTCGGGGTGCCAGATTCTGTCCCGGTTGCCCCTCTTCCAGGCCAGCTCTCTGCTGTGGCCAGGGAGTGCAGTGGAGGATGGCCCAAGTGCTTGGGCCCTGCACCCCATGGGAGACCAGGAGGAAGCACCTGGCTCCTGCCATCGGATCAGTGAGGTGCGCCGGCCACAGCGCGCCAGCCGCGGTGGCCATTGGAGGGTGAACCAACGGCAAAAGGAAGACCTTTCTCTCTGTCTCTCTCTCACTGTCCACTCTGCCTGTCCAAAAAAAAAATGCTACTTGGGGGGCCGGCACTATAGTGTCACGGGTAAAGCTGCTTCGTGAGGTGCCAGCATCCCATATGGGCACCAGTTCATGTCCCTGCTGCTCCACTTCTGATCCAGCTCTCTGCCATGGCCTGGGAAAGCAGCAGAAGATGGTCCAAGTCCTTGGGCCCCTGCACCTGCATGAAGGATCCAGAGGAAGTTCCTGGCTCTTGGCTTTGGATTGGCCCAGCTCTGGCCATCTGGGGAGTGAACCATCGGATGGAAGACCAATCTTTCCTCTCTCTCTTTCTCTCTCTCTCTCTCTCGTTCTTGCTCTCTCTCTGACTTTGCCTTTCAAATAAATTTAAAACATCTTTTTAAAAATTTATTTTATTTAGTTGCAAGGAGAGAGAGAGAGAGAGAGAGAGAGAGAGAGATATCTTCCACCTCTGAGTTCATTCCCCAAATGGCTGCAACAACTAGGGTTGGGCCAGGCTGAAGCCAGGAGCCAGGAGCTCCATCCGAGTCTATGTGGGTAGCAGGGGCCCAGGCACTTGGGCCGTCTTCTGCTGCTTTCCCCAGGAGCTGGATCAGAAGTGGAGCAGCTGGGACCTGAACCGGCACTCTGGTGAGGGACGCTGGTATTGCAAGCCAGGGTTCTTAATGCCCTGTGCCGCAACGCCGGCCCCAGAAGGATCGTTCTCACTAGAAACCTCAGGATACGAAGGTCCCCTTGTCACTTAAAGCAGCAGTGTGTGGCCTCTCGATCTGTGGCCAGCGTCACTACTCCCGCACTTGGGGGCTGTTTTTGAGTACAATAAAGGTCATGTGTGCACAGCGCTGATACCCCGAGAGCTGACTGAGCCAAAAGGGCTGCCTAGCGTCCCAGGCAGGTGGCACCTCCCATGTGGACGCGCCGGACACCGGGGGTGGCCATTCACGTCCCCAGCAGGACGGAGTGGGCTGCTGTGAGATTTCATCGCGCTACTCAGACTGGCATGCAATTGCAAACTTGAGAATGACTTATTTCTGGAGTTTTCTATTTCATATTTTCACATGTAATGGTGGGTAATGGGGCAGGACTACTGGGTGAGGCTACTTCAGAGAGATCGTGAAAAATGGTATTAAAAATGCGTTTATTTTGCTGTACATTTTTTGAAATCCATGCATATGACAAACAGGCCCAAAAGGTCACATATTGCATGATTCATTTGTGGGAAATATCCGGAATAGACAAATACATCAAGACAGACTGGATTAGTGATTGCCTTGGGCTGGGAGGGTGGTGGAGAAATGGCTGTTGAGTGCTAATAGCCACGGACTTTCTTATTAGAGGCAGGAAAATGCTCTAAAGCTGATAATGATGATGGTGGCACAACTCTGTGGATATGCAGAAAGCCACTGAAGTGTGTATATATAATAAATAAATAAATATATTCATATATAAATATATGTATTTATATATTTAAAGATTTGTTTGAAAGGCAGAGCTACAGTGAGAGAGGGAGAGACATACAGATCCTCCATTATCTATTTTTTTGCCATGGCCAGGACTGAGTCAGGCCGAAGCCAGGAGCCCAGAGCTCCATCCGGGTCTCCCACATGGGTGGCAGGGGCCCAAGCACTTGGGCCATCTCCTGCTGCTTTCCCAGGTGCATTAGCAAGGAGCTGGGTCAGTAGTGGAGTGGCCGGGACTCGAACCAGTGCTCTGATATGGGAGCTGGCGTCCCAGGTGGTCCAGGCTTAACTCCCCACGCCCCAGCGCTGGCCCCTTCCTGAGCAGCTCTTCCCTTGCTCAGTGCAGCGGGAGTGAACCAGCAGACGGAGAATCTCTCCGTGTCTCTCTGCTTTTCTCCTTCCTCCCTCCCTCCCTCCCTCCCTCCCTCCCTCCCTCCCTCCCTCCCTTCCTTCCTTCCTTCCTTCCTTCCTTCCTTCCTTTTTTAAGATTTGTCATTTAGTTGAAAGGCAGAGTTACAGAGCAAGGAGGAGAGACAAAGAGGTTTTCCACCTGCTGGTTTGCTTCCCCAAAGAGCTGCAACACCCAGAGCTGGGCCAGGCTGAAGCCAGGAGCCAGGAGCTTCTTCCGGGTCTCCCACATGGGTGCAGGGCCCAAGCACTTGGGCCATCTTCCACGGCTTTCCCAGGCCATAGCAGAGCTGGATCGGAAGTGGAGCAGCCAGGACATGAGCCGTCACCAAGTGGGACGCCAGTGCTGCAGGTGGAGGCTTAGCCCACTGCGCCACAGCGCTCACCCAGCGGCTCGCCCTTGTGCGGGCCACGTGAGGACATCTGGGAAGCTCCCCTCGGTCCATCCGGGTCCCTGGATCCTGCCTACTGCGTCCTGAGCCTCCCCCGGCCCCGGCTCTCACAGCCATGTTTCAGGGGTTACGGAGCCCGGGAAGAGCTCAGCAGAGTCTGCCTCCCCCCAGACTGGTTTTCGGACCCCTGCCTCGGCCCCTCCTGCTCACCTCCAGCTGTGGCAATGCGGGGGGGGGGGGGGGGGGCGGGCGGGTGCCCGGCTCCTCAGCTCCCTCCCCCAGGCTCCACTCAACATGACTCACAGCCCCTCTGGGCTGCCGACCTTGCCTGACATCCTGTGTGGTCACCACGCCCGCCCCTTGGTCCTGCTGGCCATCGCCAAGGTTCCTCTGCCGGTTCCTGACCTCCCACTTCTAGAGGACCCGTCATGAATGGACAACCACCATGACGTAAGCAGCCGCTGCGCCTTCCGGCTCCGTCGGAACGACCCCTCCTGATGCAGCAGAGGCGACCATGCCTTCTCCTGTCCCCGTGGAGAAAGGGACGGAGCTAGGACCTCCTGGGCAGGCCGGAGGCAAGGAGATGCTGCCTTTTCAACCCTGGCGCCCAGGGGTCGCTGCCGGTGCTGAGGGGCCAGGAGCAAGGTGGGCACCAGGCCAGGGCACGGCGCAGGCCGCACTGCAGGACTGAAGTCACCATTCTGAGTGTTGCGAGGGGACGCGGACGCTGACGCTGTCGTCCGTTTAGACACTCATGGGCCACCCCACAGACAGGGCCTAACTCCGTTCCCTTTCTTAAAGCCACCATTTACTAAGCGCAGCCTCCTCCCGTTCTGCTCATTGCACAGATGCGGAAACTGAGTCCCAAGGTCCAGAGGGTGGAAAGGCAGAAGCAGAGATCCGAAGCTGTCTGGTGGGGTCACGGGTGTGGCAAGAGCAGGAACCGCGGCCTCTGAATCACCGAAAATGCGACGGACCAGGCAGCTCCTTCTGCAGACGCGGGACGGCGAGGCCTGCGCAGGCCGCGGAATCGGGCCCAGGGCCGGGTCAGGGCCTGGGGAGGAACCCCCGGGTCTGCTCCACTCCCTCGGCCGCTTCCGGGGAAGCCTTCCCCGGCCCCGCCTGCCGGGCCCCAGCGGCCGCGGACTGGGGGCGTGGCCTCGCCTGCCCCTGCGCCTCCTCCGCGCGCCCCCGCCCCACCGCGCGCGCGCGCCCCCGGCCCCACCCCCGGGTTGGGGAGGGCGGGGAAACGCGGGGCGCCCGGCCTCCGGGCGCCAACGAGCGGCCGTGCGCGCGGGGCGCATGACGCGTGCACCTGCTGGGCCGCGGCCCCGCTAAAAAGACAGCGCGGGAAGCCCCCCGGGGAGGGCCCGAGTCCGCCAGAGCCCGGGCCGCAGCGCCGCGGCCTTCCGGGAGGACGCGATGAAGTAAGCAGCCGCCCTGCGGGTACCGCGGCGGGCCTGGGGCCCGGCCCTAGCCTGGCTCGCCCGCCGCCCGCTTCCGCAGAATAAATAGCCCCTCCGCCCTTGCGGAGCCGGGGGACGCCGGTGCGGCCTGGGGTCTCGCCGGTGCCAGGGACCCGGGCCCCTTCCAGGGTTGCCCGCCGGGCCCACGCGCCAATCTGCGCAGGCTTCCTCCAGTGAGCGTGAGAACCGCGCGCACGCCTGGCACCGGCGTGGCCCGGCCTCGCGGCGACCCCGTGAGCAGTGCCTGGGGCTCCGTCCTGGGCTGGAATTCGCCGGCAACGGGAATTCTGCAGACACCGCGGCCGCCCTCGGGGCCACCCCGTCCGCGGCCCACGCGAGGGGCAGGGAGCGCTGGTTCTGAGTTCTTTGCGGCGGTGCGTGGCTGGTGGAGCTTCAGCGCTTAGGAGGCCACTCTTTTCCCTCGGGAGCACCCGAGTTGGACAAGGCCACGTTTGCCTGTTCCGTGTGACGGTTGGTTTCAGAGTTGTGCAACAGGCGAAGGCGCCCCTCTTAAAGGGCGAGCAAGAGGAACCCCAGAGGGACCTTGGTGCTCAGTGGCCGAGTGGCCTCTGACTCTTGATGGAATTTGAACGGGGCGAAATGTGGTTCCACTGGGCCTGGGTCGTGGGGCGCAGGAGTCTACCTTCCGGGTTCTTGGTCCTCAGATGGGAGCCAGGTTGGAGAGCGCCTACCCCACGTTCCCCCACCACGACGTTGGTTCTCCCCATTCTGCAACCAGAGGCAAAGAGCCAGAGCACTTGGGTGGGGGGGGGCGTAGAATACGAGTTTTGCCCTTTTCCTCCTCCTTCCTGGGCCAGGCGGTGCCCCCCACCCCCACCCCCACCCCGTGGCTGACCTGGGACACTTTCTCAGCCCAGCATCCTTCAGGACTGGGGTTTACCCAATGTCTATGAGCTCTGTGCTTGGCCTGTTTTTTCTGCTGTGGGATGATTGATGGGTTCAGCGCTGGTCCCCAGAGGAGCCCCCATTCCTGGGGGTGGTGGCTCCGTGACGGCAGTGGGCATTTCCCGAGCGCTTCTTGCTTGCTAAGCAGTGTGCTAAGTGCCTTTGCTGGAATGACCTCTCGTGCTTGTCACGCACTGGCTTTGCCCTTCCGTGGTTGAGATACAGGAGGTAAAATTACATCCAAGGTCTCACATACACCAAAGATTTTAATTCAGAGCTCTCTCACTTAACCAGCTCTCCAGAAACTAACTCCAAAGGGCCTGCCAAGTTTCCTTTTTTAAATAAAGATTTGTTGATTTATTTATTTGATTGAGAAGAGGAGAGAGAGAGAGAGAGAGATCTTTCATCTGCTGGTTCACTGCCCAAATGGCCACAACAGCCAGGTCTGGGCCAGGCCAAAGCCAGGAGCCAGGAACAACATCCTGGACTCCTGCGTGAGTGGCAGGGCCTCAAGTCCTTGAGCCGCCATCTGCTGCCTTCCCAAGTGCATTAGCAGGAAGCTGGATCAGAAGTGGGGTATCCAGGACAGGGCTCTGATATGGGCTCAGGCATCACAAGCAGCAACTAAACCCACTGTGCCACAGCGCGGGCCCCAGCCTTCCGAGTTTTGCCAAGGCAGCTGAGCCGAGAACAGGATAACTTCATGGTGTTAGAAGGAGGGGCTGGCGCCGTGGCGCACTAGGTTAATCCTCTGCCTGCGGCGCTGGCATCCCATATGGGTGCCGGTTCTAGTCCTGGTTGCTCCTTTTCCAGTCCAGCTCTCTGCTGTGGCCTGGGAAAGCAGTGGAGGATGGCCCAAGTGCTTGGGCTCCTGCACCCACATGGGAAACCTGGAGGAAGCTCCTGGTTCCTGGCTTCGGATCGGCGCAGCCCCGGCCGTTGCAGCCATTTGGGGAGTGAACCAATGGAAGGAAGACCTTTATCTCTGTCCCTATCACTGTTTGTAACTCTACCTGTCAAATAAATAAATAAAATCTTTACCAAAAAAAAAAAAAAGGAGGGAGCGTGAGTCACTGTCGGCAGTGGTCACAGGAGGCTGAGGCAGTGTGGGCAGCAGCTGGTGTTCAGGGCTACTTGCCTGGGGGTGCGGAGCTGCCTGCTGGCCAGGAGCGCTCCCGTGGGAGAGGGCTCCCGTCTGGTCTGAACCCAGGCTCTGCTCCTCTAGAGGAGCAGAACCATTGCCTGCGTGAACACAGGGCTTTCCGTAAATAAGACTTTTCATGTTGGTAGTGTCATTGTAAGTGGCAAGCACCTGCTGATGTGTGCTGTGTCACGGAGCTGGAAGTCACCATTAGTGATTGATTCCACTGGGTTGGTATTCAAACACAGGTGCACACAGGTGACAGTGGCCCTGTACCAGTGCGATTTGTTTCTTCATTCAGCAAATATTTATGGAGTCTGTGCTGTGTTCTGGGTGCTGGAAACACTGCAGTGAGCAAAACAAGTGACAGTCCCTGTCCTGGTCAGCACGGAACGTTCCTGGGGGGAGGGGTGGCAGGCGATAAGCAGATACTTGGCCCGGTCATCAGGTGCTAGGAGGTGGCAAGTACTGCAGAGGGGAACAAAGCAGGGGGCCCTGAGGTGGAGGTGAGGGGCACAGTTTTACCCAGGGCTCGGCGACAGCCTCACCGACCAAAGGACTGAAGTGAGGGAGAGAGTGAGCCATGTGGACATCTGCAGGACAAAATAGGCCAGGCACCAGGCAAAGAGAACAGCAGGTACAAAGGGCCTGGGGCAGAGGGAAGGCAGCCGAGCTTAGAGAGGGCAGGACAGCTGATCGGAAAGGAAAGGGTGGGGAGCCAGAGTGAGTGGGCCCTGCAGAAACCTGAGCAGGAAAGACAGGAAGATCCCACTGATCGCTGTGCTGAGGCTCAGCCACAGGACCAGGGGTAAGAGCAGGGGGCCGGTTAGGAGTTCCTGAAGCCATGCAGATACAGGACGGCAGGAGGCGGTGAGCAGTGGCTGTGGTCTGGATGCATAAGGTGGAGATTGTAGGGTTTGCAGACACATCGCAGGACCCCAAGGTTTCATTTTCTGTTTTAAGACACAGTATTTGAAAGGCAGAGGGAGAGAGGGAGAGAACGAGCACGCAGCTCCATCTGCTGGTTCACTCCCCAAATGGCTGTAACTGCTGGGGCTGGGCCAGGCTGAAGCCAGGAGCCTGGAACTCCATCCAGGTCTCCTTGTGTGGCAGGAGCACAAGCACTTGGGCCATCTCCTGCAGCTTTCCCAGGCACATTAGCAGGGAGCTGGATAGAAGTGGAGCAGCTGGGACTCGCACTGGCAGTATATGGGACGCCAGCCTTGCAGGCAGCGGCTTAACCTGTTGCACCACAACACCAGCTCCACCCCAGGGTTTCTGGCCTGAACGCCGGGAAGCGTAATGTTGTCACTTACTGGGAATGCGGGAAGCTTCACTTAAAGCAGGTCAGGAGAGAAATCGGTTCAGTATTGAACCTGTTTGGTTTGGTAGACATCCAACTAAAGTCATCGGTGAGCAGCTGATGTGGACTTAAAGTCCACACTGGACGTGAGGGCTTGTGCATGCAGGCAGATGTGTGCTGGTGCTCCCTTAACAACGGGCCCTGCACGAGGTGGCGGTTGGTGAGGCCCTGGCTGAGCCGGGGCCCCAGCTGTGCTGCAGATTCCCTTGTAGAAGAATGTCAAGGCTGCCGTTACAGAGTAGCTTTCCCTAGTCCCTACTGTAGCTGCCAGCAGTAGCAACATACAGTTCAAGGGTCAGGAGGTGATGTGCTTCAACAAGTTGTTACTTTCGTGTTAAATGTAATCTTTGTAATTACAAAATTGCAAGTAGACATCTTAAATGATGTCTAGCAATAACAACTGGCTTGAAAAATTCTGTTTTTATAAAATATTTATTTGAAAAGCAGAGTTATACACACAGAGAAAGAGAGAGAGAGAGAGACAGAGACAGAGAGAGAGAGAGAGAGAGAGAGAGATTGAGATCTTCCATCTACTGGTTCACTCCCCAGCTGACTGCAACAACCAAGGCAGGCCCAGACAGAAGCTAGGAACCTGGATCTCCATTTGGGTCTCCCATGTAGATTCAGGGGCCTAAGCACTCAGGCCATTCTCCGCTGCTTTCCCAGGGGCATTAACAGGGAGCTGGACTGGAAGTCCATGTCCTTGAAAGGGAGAGAGAGAGAGAGAGAGAGGGAGGGAGGGAGAGAGAGAGATATTTTCCAGATGGCTGCAACAGCCAGGCTGAAGCCAGGAGCCGAGCCTGGAATCCTGTCCGGGTCTCCCACCTGGGCTGCAGGGCCATCAGCTGCTGTCTCCCAGGTGCATTAGCAGGGACCTGGATGGAAGCTGAGGAACTGGGACTCAAACTGGCACCAGGCTATGGGTTGCAGGCATCCTAAGCAGCAGCCTAGCCCACTGTGCCACAGCGCCTGCCCCCACGTATTCTTTTAAAAGGTCCAAACCCGGGGTCGTGCCCTGAGCATTTCTGTGTTCCTACCCTGCTCACAGAGGGCAGCCGGCAAAGTGGGGAAGAGCAAGGGCAGCAGCGGCCGTGACCTTTCCTCTGGTTGTCTGCTGGACACACAGGGCCAGAACTGCTTCCTCCTGTGGCTGACCAGAAACCACTCTGCTGCCGGAGCTCGGGTGCAAACCGGCTGTGGCTGCCTGAGCCAGGCTGCTCAGGGACGGCCTCGTGAGTCCTGGCCCTAGCGGCCCCTTCTGCCTGGGCGGAAACAAAGACCAGAACCAGACTCAGAGCCAAGCCGCCAGCTGGCTACTGTCTGGGAAGGTGGTGGAGCCTTTACCGGCCAAGTCCCTCCCAGGAAGAGTGGTCGGAACCTCTTAGACTCAGAGCTGGGCAGGGCAGGGGGCCCGGCCTGGGTCCTTGGGCCCACAGTCAGTCCCAGCTCCAAGCCCCTGGCAGGAACATCCGGGGCACCTACCTGGGGGCTCCCTCTCAGCTCTAGGCTCTGTAGCGAGTGTGCTGCTGGCAAGGATCTTAAGTAATTACGGCAATGAAATTGCATCCTCCTCAAGTTATAACTTCAGAGTGTTTCATCTTTAAAAAAAAAGATTTATTTTTATCTGAAAGGCAGAGTGACAGAGGGAGAGGGAGAGACAGAGGTCTTCCACCTGCTGGTTCACTCCCCAAATGGCCTCAGTGGTTGGGTTGGGGCCAGGCTGAAGCTAAGAGCCTGGAATTCCGTCTGGGTCTCCTGTGTGGGTGCAGGGGCCATGCACTTGGGCCATCTTTTGTTGCTTTCCTAGGAACATTAGCAGGGAGCTGGATCTGAAGTGGAGTAGCTGGGACTTGAACTGGCACTTGTATGGGATGCCAGTGTCGCAGGTGTGGCATAACCTGCTGCACCATGATGCTGGCCCCGAGTTTTGTCTTTTTGAAAAATTTTTTCTTTTTGTATATTTTTAAAAGACTTATGTATTTGGAAGTCAGAGTTACAGAGAGAGAGAGACTGGTTCACTCTCTAAATGGCTGCCATGGTTAGAGCTGAGCCAGGCTGAAGCCAGGAGCCAGGAGCTTCTTCTGGGTCTCCTACATGGGTGCAGGGGCCCAAGCACTTAGAGCACCTGCTGTTTTCCCAGGTGCATTAGGAGGGAGCAGGGGTTGGAAGTGGAGCAGCGGGGACTTGAACCAGTGCCCACATTGGATGCTGGCGTTTCAGGTGGTGGCTTTACCTGCTATGCCACAACCCTGGCACCTCGAGTTTTGTCTGAACTCCTGGATGACACGCAGGTGTGAGCTCCCTGCTTCCTGAGTCCCATGTGCCTTGCCCTGCTGCAGTGGGCTGAGGCTGGAAGCCCGCCCCTGACTGGGGTGGGGTGCAGGCATCTCCTTTCCTTGGGGGGCAGGACAGAGGGCAGCAGCATTTCATGGAGGCCTCTAACTCCATCTTTTACTGCCCAGAGAGGGAGCCGAAGCCCAGCCAGGTGAAGTGACTCCTGTGTGTCACCTCTGCTGTAGGGGCTCCCATCCTGTTCTGACCTGGACTCAGCTGGGCTTCCAGGGGCCTTCGGGGCAGCCAGGAGAGTCACCTGCCAGTCTCCCTGGGGCAGGGCAGGGTGGGAGATGGGTGGAGCTCTGAGTAAGTACCAGGGCTTGTCTATGGGGCCAGGGGCAGCAGGATCCATCCCCCACCCCCAGCAGTGGTGTCATGCCACTCTGCATTTAATTAACTTAGTTAATATTTGAATAGCATGTTTGTCATATGCATCATCTCAACTCATCTTCACAGTACCACCCCCGCATCTAAGTCTCCAGGGTTGTTGCGGGTAGCCCTGGTGCTGTTAGTTCTGGACCCAAACTGGTTAGGGGGTGAGCCAAGGTCTTCTGTTGACCAAGGAAGCCTGGGTGATGGAGGGCCCAGGCTCTGCGGCTTGGCCAGCCCTCTCTCAGCCTGCACACAGGATGGCCTGGTGGAATGATGGAGGCCGAGGGTCCAAATCGCTGGGCACCTGCTAACTGCTGGGTCAGCGCATGGAGTGTTGCTGGACTCGGGAGTTGGCTGCCATTCTGTGCGGAGCAACTCGGACTAGACTAAGTTACTGGAATTAAGACTTATTCTATGCATCTGCTCTCCCACAATATGGCGCTGGGAGAGGAGGCAACAGCTTCTACCCAGCTGCCTCTCACCAACTTGACAAGCTGCAGGAGCTGCTCCTGATTGGAGGAGAGCAGCGTACTCGGCGTGTGGGTAGCAGAGTTGGGATTGGTGGAAGAGGACTATAAAGGAGGAGAGAGACAACATGCACCAGGAACATCTAAAGGGAACATCTAAGGGGAACACCTGTGCAGCCCCCGAGAGAGCCGGCCGGCGGTGTGCCGCTCCCCTGCGGAAGTGGGGAAAGTGGCCAGGGGGAACCGCCCTTCCACGGAGGTGGAAGGGACAGTAGCCAACCCGGGAAGAACCAGCAGCAAACCCGGGGAGGGCCGAGCAGACAAAAGAACAGCGCAGGGTCCTGTGTCGTTCCTCCACGAAGAGGGGGAGCGACACATTCCTGGCAGGGCCATAGGCAGGTGAAGCCGTTCCAGGCTGTGTTGAAAGACCCAGGTTTGGCCGGCACCGCGGCTCACTAGGCTAATCCTCCGCCTTGCGGCGCCGGCACACCGGGTTCTAGTCCCGGTTGGGGCGCCGGATTCTGTCCCGGTTGCCCCTCTTCCAGGCCAGCTCTCTGCTGTGGCCAGGGAGTGCAGTGGAGGATGGCCCAAGTGCTTGGGCCCTGCACCCCATGGGAGACCAGGAGAAGCGCCTGGCTCCTGCCATCGGATCAGCGTGGTGCGCCGGCCACAGCAGCCATTGGAGGGTGAACCAATGGCAAAAGGAAGACCTTTCTCTCTCTATCTCTCTCTCACTGTCCACTGTCAAAACAAACAAACAAACAAACAAAACAAAAACCCAGGTTTGAGCTCCTCTGGCCCTGCTGAGTCAGCATTGCCTTGTCTCGGTGAAGAGCAGGGGTGCCCGGTGACTGTGCTTAGACTGTGATGCCCTGCCCTGGTGCTCTGGACCCCATCGCCCGGTCTCCTAGGGGCTCACTCTTTGGAGTGTGCTTGTGGAACTGGCTGTGGCCCCTAGACCTTCTGCATAGGTGCAGAGTGAAGTCTGAGTGACACCGCCAAGGTTAAGACACACAGTAGCGAAAACTCCGCAGTATGCCCGGGCCGCCCACGCCAAGTCAGGGCACCGTCGTTCCTGAAGCTGACCACAGGGTGTCGCTGCCGTCTCCCCTGTGTGTGGCAGGAAAGGAGCGAGGGGCTATGCGCAAGAGGTACGGTGGCCAGCCCAGGAACTGGGGACTTCAGGTTCCGGTTTGAGTACCAGGAGGGCTGGGGGAGAGTTGAGTCTGCTCACAGCTGGGGTGGGGTGGAGGCTTGGCCCTGGGGCGCCCCAACCTGCCTGGCCGGGGCTGCGAGGTTCCCAGGCCCCTCTCCTTGTACCAGGCGTCCAGGGCCCTGGCTGGCCGATCCCATCCTGAGCGCTGAGCCACAGCCTGCCAGCTGGCAGAGCCTCCTCCTCCAGGCTGCTCTGTGGGCCTCAGATTTCTCCCTGCCTCCCTCTCCCGCACTGACCTTGCGGCTTTCACTTCCCTCCGGGCAGGGGCAGCTGCCAGTTGAGAAAGCAGCACTTGCAGGGCTGAGGGCAGGCATCGGGGAGCACAGGAGGGTGGAAGGTTCCGGTGCTGGGTGACTGGGGTGCATGTGGGTATGGGGGGTGCATGGGAGTGCTCCCTCGGTACCCCAGTTAAAGCTCAAGCCACGGAGACCTCAGGTGTCTGTGGACATTGCCACAAACACTGCTGTTGGGCCCGCGTGCCATTTGGCAAAGGGAGGGGTGTGAGGAGGGGGCTGATGGCAGAGGCAAGGGGCAGATTTGGTCGCCCCTGGGGGATGGTGGGAGGGGAAGCTGGCTGGTTCCACAGGGCCCTAAGTTCGGTTGTCCCTTCAACCCCCACCCCCTCTGTTTTTAGCTGGCGTGTGTGCGTGCTGACCCCGCCAGCTTAGCTCCCCTGCACCCCTCCGGCCCCAGGCTGGGCCCCGCTGCTGCAGGCCTTGCCTCCAAGTGGGCCTCCGTGGGAAACTGGAGGCCTGACCAGCCATGGGAGAAGAATTTAGCACCGTGATCCCCCAACCCCAGTCAGGGCAGAAGGCTGGAAAAATGATATCCTGGTGTGCCTGTGACCCACCCCAGGCCTCCTGCTGCTCCGACACACCGTCTGTTTCCGATTAAGCCGAAAACCAGCCTCGATGGGCAGCTTACCTTGGGGGAGGTCATGGTAGGCATCGGTGTGTGGTCCGCCCGGGAGCCACGGAGCCCGGGGTCAGTCCTAGGCACCCCCACCCCCTCTCGCTGCGGGACCTTCCTCTCCCGGGGCCTCAGCTTTTCCCTCTGTAGTAGGGCGGCGGGTTCCTTCAGGATTCTTGTCTGTATTCAGCGAGGTCTGATGCCCGAAAGGACTTAGTGCAGCACTCGGCACGTGCCGGCGTTAAGTGTTTTGCTGTTGGGGAATCAGAGCTCCCACACACGGGGCTTCCTGGGCATGGGGTACAGTTATAAATGGGAACCCCTTTTATCATCACTTGCGCCCTGTGATCTCGGTGCCATCACCCCCATATCAGACAGGGAAGCCGAGGCAGAACAAGGTTGAATAACTCGTTACTCCAAGGGTGGGGCTGGGGTTGGGACTTCAGGTGCAGAGCTGAGGTTTGTAGTCACCACGCAGTTATCAGTCACTTTGTGCTCAGCGCCTGGCAGATATGGGGGAGGCAGAGTGAGAGGGGAGAGCGGGTGATTGCAGCCCCTGTGGTTCCAGCCAGCGTTCCTGGGCCCTGCTGATCTGGGCTTCTGTACTCACAGGTGAGACCGGCCTTCATGGTAGTGGGCAGCTGCAGACCCAGCCCAGGGCCCCCTGTGTCTCGTGTGGGTGGTCTGAGGCTTCCCCAGGCACAGCAGTGCAGGCTGCTGGCCCACCTGCTTCCCCGTGCAGAGGCCGAGCTGCCCAGCGGGGAGGGGAGCTGCTGCAGCCTTGTCCTGAGACGCGCCTGACCGTTTCTTGCCAGGCACAAAGTGTTGGGTGCACTGGGCATGTGCCTGTTTCCCCAGGACAGCCTCTCAACCATGTCGGCTCCTTCCTCACTCCTTGTCTGCCTCTCCCGTGTACCTAGGTGCCCAGGCGTTTGGGGAATGCTCACCGTGACGATGTGTGTGGTCTTTCTGGGCTGCCCGCAGGCCCAGGAGCTCCAGGGCCACGTCTCCGTAATCCTGCTGGGAGCAACCGGGGACCTGGCCAAGAAGTACTTGTGGCAGGGGCTATTCCAGCTGTTCCTGGATGAAGCGGGAAAGGGCCACAGTTTCAGCTTCCACGGAGCTGCTCTGACGGCCCCCAAGCAGGGCCAGGAGCTCATGGCCAAGGCCCTGGAATCCCTGTCCTGTCCCAGGGACATGGCACCCAGCCGTTGTGCGGAACTCCAGGCCCAGTTCTTGCGGCTGAGCCGGTACCGCCAGCTGAAGACGGCAGAGGACTATCAGGCCCTGGGCAGGGACATCGAGGCGCAGGTGCAGCAGGAGGGCCTCCGGGAGGCTGGCAGGATGTTCTACTTCTCCGTGCCGCCCTTTGCCTACGCGGACATCGCCCGCAACATCAACAGCAGCTGTCGGCCGGGCCCAGGCGCCTGGCTGCGCGTTGTCCTGGAGAAACCCTTTGGCCATGACCACCTGTCAGCCCAGCAGTTGGCCACTGAACTTGGGAGCTTTTTCCAAGAGGAGGAGATGTACCGGGTGGACCATTACCTGGGCAAGCAGGTGAGCCTCAGCTCGGACCACCCCACTCATTGGGGAACTGAGCCCCCCGTCTCCCTGCAGGGGAACAGGAGGGGAGGGTGCCGTGGAGTGGTGAGCAGAAGGCAGAGCTGCTGGGCTTCATCTGTGTGTCCAGCCTCGTTTGTCCTCTTTGTGTCTCGGTCCCTTTTGCCTCCCCCTGGGTTCTGGCTCTGATTTCTCTGTAGTGCCCGGCACCCACAGCAGAGGTGGCCCAGGGGCTGTGAAGTCTGGGCCTGGCTCCCCACTGGGGGTATATGGGAAGTAGAATCTGCCTTCTTTTCTTGCCTCCATCTGCCTTTTTAGGAACTCTTTCCTTGCTGAGTTCCATTTGGAGCCAGAAGCCTGGGGACAAGATCTACACACCAAATAGGGAGCCCCACACCGGCATCTCAGCTAGGCCCTGGGGCAGGAGCTAGGGCTGACCTCCTGGGGTCAGTGGTCCACACTGCCCGGGCCTCAGACGCTGTGAGATACCTTGGTGCTGGTTGTTACCGTGGCCAGTGAGCCCGGCCATGGGTTGGGCATGGGTGACTCTGGGGTCAGACGTCACTTGCCTTCCAAGCCCCAGCAGTAGCCCCAGACTCAGGACAGTCCTTGCTGGGCGTGAGAGGGACTCTCACTTGTTGATGGCAGAATGAGAAAAATGCCAATCCTGTTTAGTTAGGAGCTTTCCTTCATACAATTCTGGATTTTGTTGTTGTTTTAATATTTATTTAGAAGACAGAGTTAGAGAGAGAGAGAGAGAGAGAGATCGATCTTCCATCCTCTGGCCTACTCCCCAAATGGCTGCAAAGTCCAGGGCTGGGCTAGGCTGAAGCCAGGAGCCAGGAGCCCCTCCAGGTCTCCCACATGGGCAGCAGGGGCCCAAGGACTTGGGCCAACTTCCACTGCTTTCCCAGGCTCATTAGCAGAGAGCTGGATTGGAAGTGGGACAGCTGGGACTTGAATTGGCAGCCGTATGGATGGGATGCTGATGTCACAGGCTGCAGCTTAACCTGCTGCACCACCATGCCAGCCCCGGTTCTGGTGTTAAAATACCGTGTTATTGGGGATGGTACTGTGGCGTAATGTGTTAAGCCACTACCTACAGTGCTGGCATCCCATATGGGCGCCGGTTCAAGACCTGGCTACTCCACTTCTGGTCTAGCTCTCTGCTATGGCCTGGGAAAGCAGTAGAAGATGGCCCAAGTGCTTGGGCCCCTGCACCCGCGTGGGAGACCTGGAAGAATCTCCTGGCTCCTGGCTTCGGATCAGCACAGCTCTGACTGTTACAGCCAACTGGGGAGTGAGCCAGCGGATGGAAGACCTCTCTCTCTCTCTCTGCCTCTCCTTCTCTCTCTGTGTAACTTTGACTTTCAAATAAATAATTTTTTTAAAAAAATACCATGTTATTGAAAGTTGAAAGTAGAAGAAGGATAATTTTAGATTTCTTTCTTGGCAAAATACAAAGCTGGTAACCCTGTGGGAGTCACTTAGAAGTTTCTGGAGCCTCTCTGGGCTGTGAAACTGAAGTCCAGAGAGGGCATTGTGTTCACCACTCCGGGAGCTCCCTTGGGAGCGAGCGGGCATGGAGGGGGCCGCAGCTCTGGCTCCTGCCTCACCACGCCTCCTCCCCGACAGGCTGTGGCTCAGATCCTGCCCTTCCGGGACCAGAACCGCCGGGCCTTGGACAGCCTCTGGAACCGGCACCACGTGGAACGGGTGGAGATCATCATGAAAGAGACGGTGGACGCCGAAGGTGCGTGTGCGGTCCCAGCTCCGGGTCTGCTCTGCGGCCGGGCGGTGTCCCCGCGGGGCTGGAGTCTCCACCGGGCCTCAGCGCCCCGGCCGTGTCGCTCAGAGGGGAGTTCCCTGCTGGGGCCTGGACCAGGCTAACCGGGGGCCACGGCCGCCCGTGTGGTCCAGTGAAACAAAGGTGGTGCAGAGCTTCAGTGTTGGGCCCACCGTTGCTGACCCCCTGTGGGGTGAGCGAGCCCTGTGCGTGCCGACTGCAACGTCCATCCTTCCTTGAGCACCGGCTGTATACGTTTACACACGGGTTCTTCCCAGCGATGACACAAGCCAGCCCTCACTGCCTGCTTAGCCCCCAGCAGCCACACAGGGTGAGGCTGTCATTTGCTGCCTCATGAGGCTTGGGACGTGCCCTCTGTCACCTGGCAGGAAGTGATGGGGCCTGTGTCTGGCGTTTGTGTCCAGCTCAGTCCCGTGACTGCCGTCTGCAGTTGCAGGGGGCATCCGGAAGCCACCGCCCCCACCCCGGTCCTGCAGTGCGCAGCTGGCGTCAGGGCAGAGTGCCCCGCTCGTCTTCCCTTGTTCTTTTCCCCCTGGTTCCTCTCCGGCTTTCTCTCTGCCCCTCTCAATGCCCGTTTCCTGCTGGCAGCTCTGGGCGGGGCTGCAGGGCTGCAGGGAGGTGAGACCCAGCCTCTGCCCCCAACTCTATACCACACAGATCCGCGGCAGGGTGGGGTGGGGGTGAGACCAGCGCCCTGTGATGCTGGGTCAGATTCCAGAACAGGGATGCAGCTGGCGGTGCTGGGGAGGCCGGGAGGCCAGAAGGCCAGGCCTTGACGTCGCCACGCCCCAAGGAAGCACTGGACCTCTCCCCTCTGCCACCCACGCCAGCAAGAGGCCCCACCCCTGCAGCGAGCTTCCTGGGTCTCAGGATCCGCTCCCAACCCCTCCCCCAGTCCCTTGCTTGGGGGACTGTGGGTGTCCTGTGCCTGTGTCTGAGCGAGTGCTGGCCCTGTCCTTGCTTCCCTGCAGAGATGAGCTGCTGGCCTGGCGCCGAGAGCAGGGAGCAGGCAGGAGGTGCCTCCTCCTGGCAGGGCTGGGAGACACCTTTCTCCTCCTCGCTGTTCCCGGCAGCTCCTTCCTGTGCCCACCTGGGCTGGGGAAGAGCCGTGATGTTGGGGTTCGCAGCTGGGGCTGGGCTCTCCGTCACTGCAGCCTTCCCGCCCGCGTCCTTCTTGGTACTGCATAACGTTTGTGGGTTCCTTGCGGGGTCCCCGAGCAGCCAGGGGCTAGGCAGCCTGCAGGCCTGATTACCCTAGCAAAGGCCCCTTTGGATTTTGGAGAAAGGAAAACAAGACAAGGCGGAAGCAGTTTGGGCAGGTCAGTGTTGCTAGGGCAAGTTCAAGTCTGAGGTTGGGAGGAGCTTGGATTTGAACCACAACAGGACGGCCTGTGCTGGCTGGCCTCGGGGTCCCAGGGGCACAGGCCCTGGGGCTCTGTCTTCAGGCTGCTCCGCGGAACCAGAGAATGGCCAGCTTTGCCTGCACCGTGTGGTTCCCCGAGTAAAGTGTCTCCCACTTGGCTGGGCGCGGCGCCTTCAGCCCAGAGTGGGACAGGTGATCCTACCCAGTGGGGCTTGTAGTCAGCAAGGGTGTGACCAGGCAGCACTGGCTCAGCTCTTGTCCCTGCACAGGTGCCCAGCATACCTGCAGCTGTCCTGGCCTTGTGTCTCCTGCTCGGCCTCTTTATCTGCGAGCTGCATGCAGGCCCAGCACAGCCAGTAACGGCTGGAGGACCACCAGCTGCTGGACCACACCCACAGGGCTCGTGGATGAAACAGTGAGCTCCCCTCCACCCCCGCCTCCGTGCTGGGTGTGCTGGAAGGACTGCTCTGTCTGCGTCCCACGCAAGCTGCCTGGCGCGGCTCTGGGGGCTGAGCATGGCTCACACAGGCCCCGCTGGGCTCGCTTTGGAGCCGGTCCCTCAGTGGGCCCCTTGTGGACCCCAGCTCAGTGTGGGGAGAGGGGTCAGGAGCTATGGCCTGCAGCCCCTGCCTCCCGCCATGTCCAGGAGGCCTGTGCCCAGCCCCTAGGTGGGGAGGAGTGGGAAGCAGTGAGGAGGCAGGATGACCCTTCTGCCGGAGTTTGGTGGACCTGGGAGGCAGGAGCTGCTGCAGTGGCCTCGGTGGGGGCCAAATGTTTCCAAGGCAGGGTCCTGCGCCTCGCCGTTGCATGTTGGGCCGGAACAGGAAGCACAGGCCATCTCCTACCGTTGGCCCCAGCCGTGGCTTCACCTGGCCCATCAGGAGCCGCCCAGGGATAGGGGGCTGGCCCCTCGAGGAAGCCTGGCCTTCACTCTGCATGCTGGGAGCTTTTTTGGTCCAGAACTGCTGTAGGCTCTGGGAGGGGGGCTTCTGAGCTGCAGGGTCACCAGCCCCCCACCCCTACCCCAACATCCAAAGCGGCGGCAGCTGCTTCCCCAGCGAATGGGGTTTTGCCGCAGCCTCTGGCCCAGCAGAGTTTGCTGCAGTCGGGCCTGTGCACTGGCGGGAGGGGCAGAAAGGAATAAAGGAAGTCTCTAACCCTCAGCCGGTCCCAGAGCCCCGCTCCCTCCCAGCCTGACCTGGGCTGCTCCTCCCTGGAGGCCTGGCCCCTGAGAATCCCCGATGCCCTTGGTCCCTGGCCAGGATCCCCTGTGCAGCAGCAGGGCCATGGAAGGATTGACCTTGGCCTGATCATGCTGCGACTGTGTGGTGGTGACCGCTGGCTGGCCCTCATCACAGCCTTGGGAGAGGCTCTGCAGGCAGCAGACTGGGGCTCGGCTGTCGGTCTGTCTGGCCGTCTGGGTGCCCGGCTGTCTGCTCAGGCCTCCTTTTATTCCAGGAGGGCAGGGATCTCAGCCCGGCGTACTGGCTCAACAGAACCCAGGCTTCTCACCTCTGTGTTCTGTGGCCGCTGTGTCTGGCGGGCCTGTAGCAGGTGGCCTTCGGCCGTGACGTGCTCAGGGGCCGCTGCCCCCGTCCCCCCGGCAGAAGGCTGCTTTGGCAGAGGGAAGGAGGGGGCTTCTGAGGCTGTCCAGGCCGTGGGGGTCTGGCTGGTGACAGTGGAAAGAGGAGTGTGCTGCAGTTCCCCTCCTTGAGCTGGGGTGACGGCTCAGGGCCTCTCACCGAGGAGAGATAGCAGCCAGGCCCTCTCCGGTGCGTGGCTGCTGTCCCATCTTGCGGCCGGTGCAGCGTGCTCCGCGGGCCCAGTTCCCCTGGCCGGCCCATCTGCGGCGCCGGCTGCCAGGAGAGCTCAGGGCAGAGAGGGTGCTGGCCGGCTGGCAGGCCCGCTGTCTCCTTGGCCCTCACCTCTCTTTATTTTTAGTGATCCAAGGAGGGATTGGGAAGGACTGCAGCTGGCTTTCAGTTGTCTTCCTTTTCTTTCAGTAAAAAAAAAAAGTGTCCATAGCAAGGGACAGGAGGGGGTTTCTGGGTGGGAAGGGGGGACTCTGCTCCCACCTCTGACTCTGAGGTCCTCTGCACAGCCCCTGCGCGATGCTGGCAGCCCTGGTACCTCTCTCTGGGGATGGTTTGAAGGACTGAATCAGATAATGTACACGGAGGCACTTAACAAATGGATGTCTTGTTCTCCTTCCAAGTTCGCAAGGAGAGGGAGCCGTGCGTTCCCGCAGTGCCGCCAGGCTCCGCGGCTTCTCTTGGGTTCTTATGGAAAGACCAGAGCTAGGTCTGTGATGGCCTTGCACAGCCAGTCCTCCCCGACTCTGCCCTCCCCCGCCTCCGTCGCTCTTTCACACTGAGATCTCCATATGCTGACAGTGTGTGTGCAACATAGCTCCGCGTTTCTGTCTGAGTTCAGTTCTGTTTCTACTACAGACCAAGTGGTGTGCAGCCTGTTATTGGGTGTTTGGGTTTTTCCTGTTTTTGGTATTCTATTATTTATTTATTTTTACAGGCAGAGTGGACAGTGAGAGAGAGAGAGAAAAAAAAAGGTCTTCCTTTTGCCGTTGGTTCACCCTCCAATGGCCGCCGCGGCCGAAGCCAGGAGCCAGGAGCTTATCCTGGTCTCCCACGGGGTGCAGGGCCCAAGCACTTGGGCCATCCTCCACTGCACTCCCTGGCCACAGCAGAGAGCTGGCCTGGAAGAGGGGCAACCGGGACAGAATCCGGCGCCCCGACCGGGACTAGAACCTGGTGTGCCGGCGCTGCAAGGCGGAGGATTAGCCTAGTGAGCTGCGGCACTGGCCAGTTTTTGGTATTCTAAATAGTACCTTGTGAGTTTTGTAAGAAATTTAAATACTTTTCACATATAGAATTCACTGCTTTTTAAAAACAAGATTTATTTGGGGCCAGCACTGTGTCTTATTAGGTAAAGCCATCATCTGCAGTGCTGGCATCCCATATGGGCGCCAGTTCCAGTCCCGGCTGCTCCTCTTCCGATCCAGCTCTCTGCTGTGCCCTGGGAAAGCAGTAGAAGATGGTCCAGGTCCTTGGGCCCCTGCACCCATGTGAGTGACCCAGAAGAAGCTCCTGGCTCCTGGCTCTGGATCGGCACAGCTCCAGCCGTTGCAGCCATTTGGGGGTGAACCAGCGGGTGGAAGACCTCTCTCTCTGCTTCTGCCTCTGCCTCTCTGAAACTATGCCTTTCAAATAAATTAATTATAAAAACCCAAGATTTATTTATTTAAAAAGCAGAATGATAGAGAAAGAGAGAGAACAATGGGAAAGATATTCCTTTTAACAAAAACAAGATTTGTTTATTTGAGAAGCAGAATGGCAGAGGGAGATAGAGACAGGGAGGGGTGGAGAGATAAAGAGAAAGAAAGATCTTCTGTCTACTGGTTCACTTCCTAAATGGTCACAGCAGCTAGATCTGGGCTGGGCGAACGCCAGGAGCCTGGAATGCCAACCATGGTAGAATGCCACTTGGGTACTTGGGCCATCTGCTGTCTTCCCAGGCAAATCAGCAGGGAGCTGGATTGGAAGCAGAGCAGCTGGGACTCAAAATGGCACTGATAAGGGATGCCGGTGTTGCAAGCAGTGGCTTAGCCCACTGTGCCACAATACTGGCGCCAGAATTCACCCTTTTAAAGTACACGATTCAGTGACTTTCAGTATATTCACAGCGTGCAAGTGCTCTGACTCTAGAACATTGATGGGAATTAAAAGCAAGTTTTCCCTGTAAGTGCATTCCCACAGTAGAACTCCTGGGCGTGGGCTAAGACATACTTTGTGGCTGTTATTCGTGCTCATCAGACTGAGTAGCAGGTCTAAGGGCAAAGCAGTGGCCTCCTCTGCTGGTATCCCGGTGCCTCTGGCCGGCTCCTGACTAACACAGATGGGAGCCAGTTCCTGGGGCTCTCTGCCCTTGTTTAATTTCCCCGTTCCTTCTGACCTTTTTACTTATGGACGGGCTTGAATCCTCAACTTTGAACCTAAGAAAGGGTCCCAGTGTCGGTCGTTCTTAGGAAGAATCCTTCCACAGTAACTGGCAGCAGGCAGTGCAGGGCTGGCCCCTGACTGGCAGATGTTGTGCGTGGCTCCTCCCCCATGGCATGGGCTGTGCACCTGCTACCTGCGCTTAGCCCCTGAGAAGACAGCGCTCTGAGAATACAAGCAGAGCCCACACACCCGCAGGTTGTGTTCAGCATGGGCAGGTGCACCCCTTGTGGCTGGAAATGAGGGAATACAGGAAGCTCTTTTTCACCCAGCAGGCAGTAAACCCGTAGAAGGCTTTCTCCTGAGAACCGAGAGGGATAAAAATAGAAAAGGGGCCACTTAGGGATTTGCTAAATTAATGAACAGTGCTGAGCCGAGGGCTTTTAAGGACTGTGTTGTGTTCTCCCCATGAAAACGTCATCTGTTCTTAAAGTGTCAACTCTCTTCCTCGTCCCGGACTCCGTGGCAATCGGCCGAGGCTCAGAAACACGGCTTTGCGCGTTTGAACACCTCTGACGTTGACGTTGCCATCGACGGGGTGACGTGGTGGCGTCGCAGCCCATTCCTTCCTTGGCGGTTATAAAATAACCATGCCACGGCCATCCAGGCCTTTCTCCTCCCCAGCCTTCATCGTCTGCCGCGGCCCTGGTCTCGTCCCTGCCGCTGCGTTTTGGATGGGGTCCCCGGGTGTTGCGCCATCACCCCCGACCCTGTGCATTTAGAATGAAAACTGCCCTGCGCTTTCTCAGGAAGTGCGGATTTGCCGTTCTCTGAACAATGGCAGTGCCAGCCAGGGCTCACCAGGGCTTCCTGCACGCCGGACATGACAGTCTGTTTACTTAGATTTGAGAGGCAGAAAGGGAGACGTCTCGTGTGCACTGGTTCACTCGCCAGATGACTGTGACAGCTGGGGCAAGGCTGGGCCCTGCGGAAGCCAGGAGCCAGAAGTTCAATCTGGGGCCCCCAGCGGGCGGGCGCCAGGGAACCAGTCCTCACTGCTGCCTCCAGGATGCGCCTTAGCAGAGAGCTGGAGTGAGAGAGGGGCCAGGACCTGAACCCAGGCACTCTGATTGGGATGCAAATGCCTGCCTCCTTCCCCCACCTTCAACCCTCCCCCGCTCCTTTCAGCCCTGTGACTTCAGACAGGAGAGCCAGTGTTTAAACCGTGGTTCCAGGGCTGCCATTGTGGTGTAGCAGGTAAAGCCGCCACCTGCAGTGCCAGCACCCCATATGGGCACCGGTTCATGTCCCAGCTGCTCCATTTCCGATCCAGCTCTCAGCTAATGGCCTGGAAAAAACAGTAGAGGATGGCCCAAGGCCTTGGGCCCCTGCGCCCATGTGGGAGACCCGGAAGAAGCTCCTGTTTCCTGGCTTCTACTGTGGCCATCTGGGGAGTAAACCAGCAAATGGAAGATCTGTGTGTGTGTGTGTGTGTGTGTGTGTGTGTGTATGAGAGACCCCCTCTATATCTGTAACTCTTTCAAGTCAATAAACAAATCCTAAAAAAAAAAAAAAAAAGCTAGGCCGGCGCCACGGCTCACTAGGCTAATCCTCCGCCTTGCGGCGCTGGCACACCGGGTTCTAGTCCCAGTTGGGGCACCGGATTCTGTCCTGGTTGCCCCTCTTCCAGGCCAGCTCTCTGCTGTGGCCAGGGAGTGCAGTGGAGGATGGCCCAGGTGCTTCGGCCCTGCACCCCATGGGAGACCAGGAGAAGCACCTGGCTCCTGCCATCGGATCAGCGCGGTGCACCGGCCACGGCGGCCATTGAAAGGTGAACCAATGGCAAAAGGAAGACCTTTCTCTCTGTCTCTCTCTCTCACTGTCCACTCTGTCTGTCAAAAAAATAAATAAATAAATAAATAAAAAATAAAAAAAAGCTAAAAAAACCAAGACAACAGCCAGTGGCTGCATGGGCCGTGCTCTGGACCCCAACTCTGCACCACCTCCAGATCCAGCTGGGACCAGGGAGTTTGTGTCCTCTGACTGGATAATGGCTTTGCCGTCACCCTGGCCTGTAGCAAACAGACCTCGTGGACTGCAGGAACACTGGTCTGTGGCCGTGGCTGCGCGTTCATCTGCAAGGTTTCACTTCCTGCCCCAAAGCCATTTCTTCAGTTATTTTAGAGAGAAGGTGAGAAGCTTACCTGCTTTTTATTTTTATGTTTACTTATTTTCGTTTTATTAGAAAGGCAGAGAGGGGGCGGGCGCTGTGGCTTAGTGGGTAAAGCTGCCACCTGCAGCGCTGGCATCCCATATGGGCGCTGGTTGGAGTCCCGGCTGCTCCACTTCCAATCCAGCTCTCTGCTGTGGCCTGGGAGAGCCGTGGAGGATGGTACAAGTCCTTGGGCCCCTGCATCCACATGGGAAACCTGGAGGAAGCTCCTGGCTCCTGGCTTCGGATCAGTCCATCTCTGCTGTTGCGGCCATATGGGGAGTGAACCAGCAGATGGAAGACCTCTCTGTCTGCCTCTGCCTCTCTGTATGTAGCTCTGTCTTTCAAATAAATAAATAAATAATGGCCGGCGCCGTGGCTCACTAGGCTAATCCTCCACCTAGCGGCGCCGGCACACCAGGTTCTAGTCCCGGTCGGGATGCCGGATTCTGTCCCGGTTGCCCCTCTTCCAGGCCAGCTCTCTGCTGTGGCCAGGGAGTGCAGTGGAGGATGGCCCAAGTGCTTGGACCCTGCACCCCATGGGAGACCAGGAGAAGCACCTGGCTCCTGCCATCAGATCAGCGCGGTGCGCCGGCCGCGGCGGCCATTGGAGGGTGAACCAACCGCAAAGGAAGACCTTTCTCTCTGTCTCTCTCTCACTGTCCACTCTGCCTGTCAAAAAAATAATAAATAATAAATAAATAGATCTCTCTCTCTCTTTTGAGAAAAGATTTATCTATCTGTCTGCTGGTTTACTTGCCAAATGCAGCAGCAGCTGGGGCTGGGCAGGGGCCAAAGCCAGGAGCGGGAGCTTGAGGTCCCCCGCCCCGTAGGTGGTCAGAACGGGATTACTCGATCTCCCAGGAGTCTGCATCAGCAGGAAGCTGGAGTCAGGACCAGCGCTGAGGCTCGCAGCCAGGCCCTCCCCGGGGACGAGGGCGTTGTCACTGCGAGGCCACAGGCCCTGCCCCGACCCCGCCGTGGCTCTTCGGATCCTCAGTTTGCTCTTTGCAGGACCACAAACCAGCCACTTCTGCCGGCCGTCGTCACCAGAGCCCTGCGTGGAGGCCTCTGTGTCTGGCTCCTGCTGCTGCTCCCCAGCTAGGATGGGTCCTGGGCAGAGGCAGCCCCCACGTGTTTGTTTGAGACACACGCCATTCTCAAAGATTGGAGTCATTTGTGCATATCAGAAATCACGAAATCAGGGGCCAGCGCTGTGGCATGGCGGGCAGAGCCGCTGTCTGCGTAGCCGGCATCACACATGGGCACCTGTTTGTGTCCAGGCTGCTCCACCTCCGACCCAGCTCCCTGCTAATGGCCTGGGAAAGCAGCGGGGGATGGCCCAAGTGCATGGGCCCCTGCACCCACGTGAGAGACCTGGAAGAAGCTCCTGGTTTTGGCCATGTGGGGAGTGAACCAGCAGATGGAAGACCTCTCTCTCTGTCTCTCCCTCTCTCTCTGTGAAGAGTCACATAAGTAAATAACTTATTACTTATCAGATAACTTATTTACTTGTCAAATAAGAAAAAACTCTTTAAGAAATAAAATAAAAGGCCGGCACCATGGCTTACTAGGCTAATCCTCCGCCTGCGGCGCCGGCACACCGGGTTCTAGTCCCGGTTGGGGCACCAGATTCTGTCCCGGTTGCTCCTCTTCCAGGCCAGCTCTCTGCTGTGGCCTGGTAGTACAGTGGAGGATGGCCCAAGTGCTTGGGCCCTGCACCCGCATGGGAGACCAGGATAAGTACCTGGTTCCTGGTTTCGGATCAGTGCGGGGCTTCTGGTCACCCTGTTAAATGGCAGAGGCAGAATGAAAAGTCAGTAGCCCTCCCAGGATCAGATGCCAGCCCTCCAGGGAAGCTGTGGCCTCCTCTGAGCTTAGCCTCCTGCCCACCGCTGCCCAGGGAGGGCTGAGCCCAAGTGGCTCTGGGGGTTCTTGTCGTGGTGACGGAAACCTGGCTGACACAGCCCTCCTGACCTGCCTCTTAAAAAAAGATTGACTGACTGATTGATTTGAAAGTCAGAGTTACAGAGAGGGAGGGAGGAAGGGAGAGAGAGAGAGAGAGAGAGAGTTCGATCTTCCACCCGCTGGTCTACTCCCCAGATGGCCACACCAGCCAGGGCTGGGCCAGGCTGAAGCCAGGAGCCAGGAGCTTCTTCCTTGTCTCCCATGTGGGTGCAGGGGCCCAAGGACTTGGGCCATCTTCTGCTTTTTCCAGTCCATTAGCAGGGAGCTGGATTGGAAGTGGAGCAGCTGGGACTTGAACTGGTGCTCGGATATGGGGTGCTGGCGTGGCAGGCGGTGACTCATTGGCTCGACCTGTTGTGCCATGGCACCCACCCCTCTGAAAGGTCTCCCCACTTCTCAGGTCCCACTGCTGCGCTGAGTTCTGGGGGCCAGACCGCAGCAGACATCCGCTCTTAGAATCTTTCTCGCCACGGGGGCCGCCTCCTTCCCTTCTCTTGTGGTCTTTGCCCCGGGGTATGTCTTCAGCAGACCCTTGAGGATACCAGGACAAGGTGCCAGGTGGGGGTCCTGGCGCTCCCCCCACACCCTCCTTACGACCTCCCCTCCCTCCTGCCCAGGCCGCACCAGCTTCTACGAGGAGTATGGCGTCATCCGCGACACCCTGCAAAACCACCTGACGGAGATCCTCACGCTCGTGGCCATGGAGCTGCCCGCCAACGTCAGCTGCTCGGAGGCCGTGCTGCGCCACAAGCTGCAGGCCTTCCGGGCACTGCGCCGCCTGCAGAGGGGCAGCGCCGTGGTGGGCCAGTACCAGACCTACAGCGAGCAAGTGCGCAGGGAGCTGCGGAAGCCAGCCGGCTCCCCCAGCCTGACGCCCACCTTCGCAGGTGCTTCCCAAGCCCCTGGGGTGGCGGGGCCGGAGGTGGGGTTCGCACAGCTGTGCCCAGCGGCCCTGGTGACCTGCCCTGCCCTCCGGCCATCTGGCAGCAGCAGGTCACAAGTGGTACGGGACATGCCCACGAGTTGCGTCAGCCTCGGTCCCAGCCCTGCCCCTAGAATCTTCCCAAGGGGCTCAAGCCAGGCGTCTGCCCTCGGGGAACTGGCACCTGCCTCCCAAGTGAGACCACAAAGCTCTGCCCGAGCCAGCGTGTCCAGCAGGCAGGCACCGTGAGGCTCCTCTGGACAGCTCAGAGTGACCGGCACGAGAGCAGCAGCTGCTGGCGGGGCACGTGCGCCAGGCCCTCATCTAACCCCCACCCACAGACCCACTGGGGAGGGGCGATGATCACCCTGCTCCATGGGGGAGGAAAGGGAGGGTGTGGTGAAGGTGGGAGCTGGGCTGTGGGTGTGGTCAGTCTCTGGCTCCGCCCCCCAGTCCTGCTGCTATCCCCCCAGCACCCCTTGGGCTCACCCATGTCTGACTTCACTTCAGGTGCATCCGAGTGCTCCCCAAACAGGAAGTCATGCCTGTCTCCTAGAACCCCCTGTCCTACCCCACCCCAGAGTCAAGACCCCCCCCCCAATTGCCCTCCTGTGAGACTTCCGGAGTCTCCAGATGGGAGGGAGGTGGCCTTCCAAGCCACAGCGATGGCCCCAGAGGCCGGCTCTCCGCCCTAACTAGGGAGACAAGACCGTGGGGGCAGGAGTGGGGTGGGTGGCCGTACCAGGGGGAGGGGCCTGCTGACGCCCTGCTGCGGCGTCACCCACTGCTGTCCCTGCTGCAGGCGTCCTCGTCCACGTCGACAACCTGCGCTGGGAGGGCGTCCCTTTCATCCTGATGTCCGGCAAGGCCCTGGACGAGAGAGTGGGCTACGTGCGAGTCCTGTTCAAGAACCAGGCATTCTGCGCCCAGAGCGAGAAGCACTGGGCCCCGGCACAGAGCCGGTGCCTGCCCCGCCAGATCATCTTCTACATCGGACACGGCGAGCTGGGCCACCCCGCCGTGCTGGTCAGCAGGAACCTGTTCAGGCCCTTCCTGCCCGCCCAGAGCTGGAGGGAAGTGGAGGACCGGCCCGGGCTCCAGCTCTTTGGCCGGCCCCTGTCCGATTTCTACGCCTTCAGCCCCGTGAAGGAGCGCGATGCCTACTCCATCCTCTTGTCCCACATCTTCCACGCCCGCAAGGAGTCCTTCGTCCCCACGGAGCACCTGCTGGCCTCCTGGGTTTTCTGGACGCCCTTGCTGGAGAGCCTGGCCCGGGAGGTGCCGCGCCTCTACCCGGGGGGCGCCGACAGCGGTCGTCTGCTGGACTTTGAGTTCAGCGGTTCCCACTTGTCCTTTTCCCTGGGGCAGCCAGAGCAGCTGGTGCCGGGGCCCGGCTCCACCCCGCGGCCCAGTGACTTCCAGGTTCTCGGTGCCAAGTACCGGGAAAGCCCGCTGATCTCCGCCTGGCCCGACGAGCTCATCTCCAAGCTGGCCAGTGACATCGAGGCCGCAGCCGTGCAGGCGGTGCGGCGCGTCGGCACCTTCCACCTGGCGCTCTCGGGCGGCTCCAGCCCCATCGCCTTGTTCCAGCAGCTGGCCTCGGGCCACTACGGCTTCCCCTGGGCCCACACGCACCTGTGGCTGGTGGACGAGCGCTGTGTCCCGCTCTCAGACCCCGAGTCCAACTTCCAGGGCCTGCAGGCGCACCTGCTGCAGCACGTCAGGGTCCCCTACTACAACATCCACCCCATGCCTGTGAACCTGCACCAGCGGCTCTGTGCCGAGGAGGACCGGGGTGCCCAGGCCTATGCCAGCGAGATCTCAGCCCTGGTGACCAACTGCAGCTTCGACTTGGTGCTGCTGGGCATGGGCACCGATGGGCACACGGCCTCTCTCTTTCCACAGTCGCCCACTGGCCTGGACGGGGAGCAGCTGGTGGTGCTGACGGAGAGTCCCTCGAGGCCACACCAGCGCATGAGCCTCAGCCTGCCCCTCATCAACCGCGCCAAGAAGGTGGCCGTCCTGGTCATGGGCAGGACGAAGCGCGACATCACGCTGCTGGTGAGCCGCGTGGGCCGCGAGCCCAAGAAGTGGCCCATCTCGGGCGTCCTGCCCACTTCCGGCCAGCTGGTTTGGTACATGGACTATGAGGCCTTTCTGGGGTGATGGATGGCGCCTCTGCTCTGGGCTCACTCCCGTGCTTTCCTTACCTGTCCTCACCCCCCACCCCGGCCCTGCCCAGCGTACCTGATGCCCTGAGTCGGGCCCGGAGCAGGGAGGACAAGGCCCCGCCCTAGCCTGCCCCTTGGGTGGCCCATGCTGCCTGGGCGTTGCGGGCGGACACAGAAACCAGGCAGAAGTGCGATCTCTGTCCTTGAACAGAGTCAGTGCCAGGCCAGAAGACCCACGTGGTCGCCCATCAACAGCCACCAGCACAAATAAGCGGGGGTGAAAGTGCCCACAAGCAGAAGGGGACCAGGGAGCTGCCGGGAGGAGGCCTGGGCTGACAGAGCGGCCCTGGGGGTACAGTGCCCCGTGCCAGGCAGGCAGACGGGAGGCCGTCCCCACGCCACAGCCTGGTCAAGCCCCGGCCTGTCTGCTCCAGTCTCTGCACCTCGAACCCACTGCCCTCACCTCCACCCCTCACCTCCCTGGGTTCCTCCTCAGCCCCTCCTGCTTCCTGTGGGAGCCCGGTGCATCAGCCAGTGTGGATGTCAGAAAGCTAGGACTGCTCCCCTTTGAGAACAGCTGTGCCTGGGCAGTGGGGCAGAGGTCCCCAGCTTCCTCCAGCCGTGGGTGCTCCCCTCTCTGGCCGGCCTCCTCTGCCAACCCCCTGGCCGCGGGTGACCGGGCCGTTCCAGGGAGCCGGAGCCTGAGAGGGCCCCCCGGTGGGTGTTTCCTGTCTTGGCTGCCTCTTGGGTTTCAGCAGGGGAGACCCGGTGACGTTGTCCTCTGATGGTGACCACTGTGACTTCAAGTGACGTTGGGTCCCCCGGTGGCTCTGCCCAGCAGACAGGAGCCTGCTGGGGCGGCTGCAGCCGGCCCTTCTCACACTGCCTCCCGCGGCCTCCAGCCCACCACTGCCTTCGCTGGGCTCTCCCTCGTGCCAGCCCTGGCTGTACCATCATCACCTGCCCTCCTGGCTTCTCCGGGAGCAGAGCTTGGTCCTCCTCCCTGGAGAAGCCTCGGCCAGAAATGCCCATTCCCCAAAGCCCCCGAGGCGGGCTCTAAAATTCTTGAAAGAAAAACCAGCAACAGAAAGAGATCCCAGGACACCTGTGTTTTTGTTTTTGTTTTTCAACTTCCCACGTGGTGGTGCCACTCAGGTGCGCATGTGAAGGGCTGAGCCTCCAGGGCCGTGCCTGCTGGTTGGAGAGGCTTTCTCCATAGGAGGGACATCCGTCGCCATCTGACACTTCTTCAAGGCTTCTAACTTAAACACGCATCCTCATTTTCCCTGGAGGTGCGGGAGCCGGGGGCTCTCTCACTTGAGGGGCACTGTTGGTGAAGTTCTGCCTGCCCTGGCCTCCAGCAGCCCAGGCCGCACAGGGAGCCCCGCCCTGGGCAGAACAGAACCGCGGGGCCAGGGCTGGGCGCCCTCTCCCAGTTGCCTGTTCACACCTGGTGGCCAGTGGCGCTCACCAGGGGTCAGAGGTGAGCACAGGTGTTGAAGTTCCGCCTCTGGCCGCGTGGGGGCGCCTGAGCACCATCCCCGCCGCGGCTAGCGGGCAGCGCAGACACAGGCCAGTGCCTGAGTGATGGCGACTCCCTGCCTGCGGCCAAGCATCCTGCTGTCCGTCAGAGGAAGGCCCTCACCCACGCGTGCGCCCCTTCTCACCCTGTGTTGGGGAGGAGAGAGGCTCCGGACCCTGTGCTCCCCTGACGGGTTCTGGAGGAGGTCTTGCCCCTTGGATTCTGTTTTTCTCTGAAAGTGGCCAGGTGGGGCCTGGAACTCAGGCGGCCACAGTGGAGCGTGGGCTGGCAGTGCGGCTGCGACCCGGGTCTGGACTTACAGGCAGTGTGGAGCAGGTTCAGCTCCCCCCCACCCCGCCCCGGGCAGTTTTCTGGGAGGGGGAGACGGTGGTGAGGAAACAGAGCAGAAACCAGGAGCTTACTGAGGGTTTTTTTTTTTTTTTTATTTGAAAGGCAGAATGACAGAGGAGGGGAGAGATGGGAAGAGAAAGAGAGCTTTTCCATACACTGGTTCTGTCCCCCCCACTCCACTCCAAATAGCTGAAACAGCCTGGTCTGGGCCAGGGAGCCAGGAGCTCCATCCGGGTCTTCCATGCGGGTGGCAGGGACCCAAGCACTGGGCCATCCTCTGCTGCCTCCCAGGCGAGTTGGAAGGGGCAGTATCGGCAGTGGAGCAGCTGAGACTCGAACTGGCGCCCCAGGATGCTGGCGTCTCAAGCCACGGCCGCGCCGCTGCCAGCCCTGCCTGTCCTCAGCGCCATCTTGTCTAACCCTTTGACAACCTGGTGGGCTGTGCCATGGGACCCTTATTTAGCGATGGCTTTGAAACAAAAGCTCAATTTCAGGAGCAGCCCGGGTCAGACCCAAGTCGTTGGGCGTCTCCAGCTGTGTCCACCAGCCCGTGCCCTGCCTCTTCTCTCCCCTGGGGCCTTGAGCAGGGGGCAGTGGACACCAAAGTCTGGGTTCCAGAGGGAGGCGCCTGCCCGTGCACCTGTGGGTCTGTAAATGGCAGGAGGGCCTCCCCTTGTAGACCAGCATTCGCATCCTGAGAGCAGGGTGATCGGCCTCCGTGGTGGGAAGGGTTCCAGGACTTCCGGGTTCTGATTCGGCAGCAGGTATCTCCGTGCCCGTGAGTTAGGAAGCTTCCTGTTTCTCAGCAGGTGGTCCTTTAGGATGCTCCGCGCCCACTCGGGTCCCCGGCTTAGCAGCATAACCAAAGCTGCCCAACAGGCGGGTGAATACTCCAGGACATTCATTCTCTCAAGTGTTTCTGTCCCCACATCGGCATCCCGGCTCTGGGAGTTCCTTTTAGCTTTGTCCAGCTTCCCTCCTTCCCATTCCGTGTAGGGAGCCAGGCGTGGCCGGACAGAGAAGGGACAAAGGGCTGCTTCCTAGAACTTTTTCTCCTACAGAGGCAGCCTCTGCAGCTGCTTTTCCCAGCTGGATTTTCATCTCAAGTCCATGGGCCACGGCCTGCAGGTGGAAAACTTGCTTGGTGGCAGTGCAGGGTCAAAAAAGCAGCAAGTCACGGGAAAGGCCGGCGTGGCAGGTTGGCGTGGTCAGCACCTGCCCACGCTGTGAGTGGGGCTGCAGGGGGCAAGGCTGCGCCTCCAGATGTCCCGGGTGGAGCTGGACTCCCGATTCTGCTCTGAGGCCATGGCCTGAGTAGGTGGCGCTGCATCACTGACTGCCTTGTGCATGTGCCATTTCCATGGCTAGAAGGTGCCCCCCCCCCCAGCCTTCTCCGCCCTTCACAGCAGTCAGAACCCAAGAGGGCGGCCAGTGTTGTGGTGCGGCGGGTTAAGCAGCTGTCTGTGATGCAGGCATCCCATACAGGCGCCAGTTTGAGTCCCGGATGCTGCACGTCTGATCCAGCTTCCTGCTAATGTGCCCAGGAAAGCAGCGGGGGATGCTCCAAGTGCTTGGGCCCCTGCCACCTGCATGGGAGGCCTGGTTGGAGTCCAGGCTGCTGGCTTCCAGGCTGGGCTGGGCCATTGCAACCATCTGGGGAGTGAACCAGCGGATGGGAGGTTTTGCTCTGTGTCTCCCTCTCTGTCACTCTAAATGAATCTTAAAAGGAGGGGGAATCCGAATGAATGATGCAATGAGCATAGGTACAGCTGTGCCCTGGGAGGTGCTGGGTGTTTTCTGGCAGTCACTGGAGGGCAGTGGCTTGCTGAATGCAGGTTTGTTGTCTGAGGTCCCGGCATGGCAGGTGGCAGCCGCACGGTGCAGTTTCTATCCTGAGCTGCTGGTGCTGGGGTTAGGGTTGGACGTCAACGTGTTCTCTGCTTTGCTGCATACCGTGCAGTCTCCAAGTAAACCAGACCCTACGTCCCGCCCTCTCCTGCACGTCCGTCTTCCCTGCAGGATTCGTCCTCACTGTGTGAAGGGGTGAGACCCAAAGCAGCTGCTGTTCCCGGGAGACTCCAACAGCAGCCATCTCCCAGGAGGTCCAGGCTCCCGGTCCCTGGGGTGTGAGTGAGACATGCATGCCGGGCCTGGAGGATGCCATTCAGTGAGCCAGAGGCTAGGGGGCAGGGAAGGTCCCCCCCACCCCCAGCTTAGGGAGTGCACCTGCTATCAGAGCAGGTCACTGGGATGCGTGTGTGAATGGGAGGGGGCCGTGACGCTTCCGTGGGTTCTGGGTTCCCAGCACTGGTCTTTGCTTGACCCTGGCCTTGCCCCCAGGTCTCTGCATCCTTCCTGCCCTGGTGTGGGAGGGGTGACCCCATCTTCCTTGGCTGAGAGCTGCCATGACTACATCTGAGCCGCTGGTGACTGGAGTTGGAAGTGAACACAGATGCCTGTCAGGTTGGCCCTTGGCTTTACCTGCACACAGCGGGAGGGGCCGGGTACACAGTGAGAGGAGGCTCCAGGAGAGGACCCTGGATTGGCTGAGCTCAGAACCTCGAGGGCCTCCCTGTCTCTGGGTTGTGACGCATGTGGTCTCCTCCCCTGGGGTCTGGGTGACAGCCGACCACAGCAACATGGCTCTGACCTGCAGGTGTGTGAGTGAGGAGCTGAGACTCCCCCCGGGGCCGAGGGGCTGTTGCTGTCATGCAGTCTGTCCTGTGATAGGGAACTGGGGTCTGGGCCGTGGTGAGGCCAGGAGAGGAGGGGCTGAGCTCTGGGGTGGGCATGCAAACCACCCCTGCAAACAGCATGAACGTGCCAGGATTTCTCTGGGCCCTGGAAACTGCCTGAGACGACTCATCCAGAACCCGTGCCTTTTAAAAATCTTCAAAAATGTTTTTAAAGAGGCTTTTCGTATATCAGATGTAACATCTATTTTTTCAACAATACAATTGTTTTGCCAAAACCCATGTTCTCATGCTGTCTTTGGGAGGTGGGGTGCGGTGGGTTGTGGGAAGGGGACGCGCGTGTGGGCCAGAGGCTGTGCTCCATTTGGGGGGAGGTGGAGAGGGGGCCCCGGTCCCCAGCAGCCCGCTGGGTGGGGGGGAGCTTGTGAAGCAGCAGCCGGGATGCAGCTGTTTGCCTTCGGTCTGCTGCCTGAGCCCCAGCTCCAGCCGTGCCCGTGTTCCCAGGAACGTGCTTTGGGGAAGCCGCGTGGACTGCTGGGGACTGCTGGGTGCAGGCGCGACCCAAGCCAACATGACGTTCTCACGAGTGCTGTGGAGTGGGGAGTCTACCGCCCAGAGGGGGCCCTGGGCAGGAGGCCAACGTGGAAGAGGGCAGAGCCCGGGAACTCGCGCCCGGTGGCCAGCAGCGCTGCCCTGGTCCAGTCTGCCCGTGGACCAAGATTCTGCAGAGTCCGCGTGTCTCATCCAGGCTTGGGTCCCTGTTACTTAACACACTGCCCTGCAGTCAGTGAGTGAGTGGCAATGCAGCGGGGAGAGCTCGGGACTGGCCAGGTGTTCTCAGCCACAGGTGGCCTGGACACGACACCGGAATCCTGTCCCTCTGCTGGTGACCCTGGGAGGCCACACTTGCAGCTGCCCTGTCCCCGCTCACAACCTGGGGGTAAGATCCCAGGTTGGGCTCATGAGGTCCACTAAGGGGACCCAAGGCAGGGGCTTGGCCCCAGGCCCAGGGTCTGTGGTCGAGAGGAAGATGGAGGTTTGTATGTGGGTGTGGTCAGCAGGGCAGGGTGGGTGGGGCTGGGGCCCTGGGAAGGAGCCTTCCTGGTATATGGGGGAGGGGCTCTGAGAAGGTGGATCCCCTGTGTTCAGTGGGCCAGGGGCTGGGTACAATGGGTGCCAGCACCCTTGTTGGCACAGGAGGGCGAGACAAGAGCCAAGGCCAACCACTCCCCGCTGCTTGTGGACAAGGCAGATCAGCACCTGCTGCTGGACGCTGCAGCAGCCAGGGGCAGCTGGGGAGGGCCTGGAACTGCCCACGCAGCCTCACTGGCTCCAGCCCCTTCCGGCTGCCTGTCCCCCGCCCTGGCTTGGGGAAGCCCACCCTCGTGTTTTCTGTCTTCTTAAAGAAGGACTGCTGGAAATAAAAACCTGTACAGCGAAGCAGATGCGGCCAGGCAGGTCCTTCCTGCGGCTCCGTAAACCTTGGAATTGTTCCGGAAGAAAACTCAGCAATGCACACAAATGAGAGCAGGAATTCCGCAGAAAACGTTTCACAGACATGAGGTCCTTTTCTTGATGCTACTTTTTAAAGATTTATTTATTTATTTGAAAGGCAGTTACAGAGAGGCAGAGGCAGAGAGAGAGAGAGAGAGAGAGAGAGGTCTTCCATCTGCTGGCTCACTCCCCAGATGGCCACAATGGCCACAGCTTCACCAATCCAAACCCAGAACCCAGGAGCTTCCTGTGGGTCCCCCATGAGGGTGCAGGAGCCCAAGCACTTGGGCCATCCTCCACTGCTTTCTCCAGGCCACAGCAGAGAGCTGGGTCAGAAGTGGAGCAGCTGGGACTCGAACCAGCACCCATATGGAATACAAGCACCACAGGCAGTGGTTTTCCAGCTACACCGCAGCACTGGACCCCGTCTTGGTGCTACTTTTACTTTCAGTAATGCATTAGCAGGGACAGGCCTTTGGTCCAGCACTTACGACCCCCACATCCCACCTCTGGATGCTTGGGTTCGCTTAGCATCGGCTCCTGATTCCAGCCTCCTGCCAATGCGGATCCTGGGAGGTGAGAGATGATGGCTCCGGTGGCTGGACCCCTGCCACTCACATGGGAGACCTGGATTGAGTTCCCGGCTCCTGGTTTCGGCCCCAGGCCCAGCCCAGACATTGTGGGCATTTGAGGAGTGAACCAGCAGATCAAAAATCTCATCTAGCTCTCTCTGTCTCATTGCCTCTTAAACAAATAAATATGTATATTAAAATACATAATAATTTTACTTCAAACTAAAGGAATTTCCGAACTTCTAATAAATACTTTATTACAGTAAGTATTACTTCCCATAAGATCTTTGTAACATTGGAAGTGCAGTACCAAGATATTAAAAGGCCAGTGTCCTGATGGTTTTTAATGACTTCTCTTTTTTTTTATTTTTTGACAGGCAGAGTGGACAGTGAGAGAGAGACAGAGAGAAAGGTCTTCCTTTGCCGTTGGTTCACCCTCCAATAGCCACCGCGGCCAGCGCGCTGTGGCCGGCGCACCGCGCTGATCCGATGGCAGGAGCCAGGTACTTCTCCTGGTCTCCCATGGGGTGCAGGGCCCAAGCACTTGGGCCATCCTCCACTGCACTCCCTGGCCACAGCAGAGAGCTGGCCTGGAAGAGGGGCAACCAGGACAGAATCCGGCGCCCCGACTGGGACTAGAACCCGGTGTGCCGGCGCCACAAGGCAGAGGATTAGCCTAGTGAGCCGTGGTGCCGGCAATGACTTCTCTTTTATTTCTTAAAGTTTTGTTTTATTTATTTGAAAGACAAAGTTAGAGAGAGAGAGAGAGAGAGAGAGAGAGAGAGAGAGAGAGAGAGAGAGGTCTTCCATCTGCTGGTTCACTCCCCAAATGGCTGCAACAGACTGAAGCCAGGAGCCAGGAGCTTCTTAGGGTCTCCCACACGGGTGCAGGGGCCCAAGCACTTGGGCCATCTCCCACTGCTTCCCCAGGTGCATTTGCAGGGAGCTGGATGGGAAGAGGAGCGGCCGGGCCTGGACCTGAGGCCCACGGGGGCGGGGCGCTGGCACTGCAGGCGGGGCTTTACCTGCGGCACCACGGTGCCGGCCCCAGGCTGTGATTTCTGACTTCCTGCCTCAACGCCCTCTGGGGTCTGCTGGCCTCGCCAGACCCAGATGCGGCTCTTGATCACTTCCCTGCCTGCCCCACTTCTGAACCTGAGCTCCTTTTGTCTTCCGATTGCCCAGGGTCCTTGCTCTTTAAGGCTCTCTGCCAGTTTTCCTCCCCTGCGCTCCTTCCCCAGCGGCTTCCATCTCCTCCCAACACCCAGGCTCCAGATGCCTTCCCCTGTCAGCGTGGGGGGATGCCTTCTGTGGGGGGGGGGTGCCACCTGCTGTCTCCAGGGCCTTTGTCTTCCTGCCTGAGACGCTCCCAACCCTGTGCTCCTGGTGCCCAGGCGGGGGCTCTGTCGTGAGCTGGATGGGTCCATCTGCCTACCTGCCCATGAGGCCGGCTGACGGCTGGTGGCACAGCCCAGCAGGGGCCCTGATAACTGCTGACTCGGGGTCGGTCGTGTCCCAGGCCTGGGACTCCCACAGGGATCAGAGAGCCCAGGCTCATGGAGCCCATGCCCCCTCTCCTCCACTCTTTGGGGTGCATCCCTTGCCTCTCTTCTTCAGGGAAGCCCGTCTGCTCTCGCCATTTAAACCCAAAGGGGGTCTGCAGGAGTAGGTCTCTGCTGGCCTCCCGGCCTCCCCGCCGCCCCCACAGTTCTAGGAGAAGCGCTTTCTCGAAGGTGGCTCCCACTGAACACACCCACACCACGTGCCACGGCCAGGACACACAGCGTGGGGATGGGGACCTCAGTGTGCAGCTGAGACTCCAAGGCCTCCGAGGGCCCTGCCTGGCCCAAGGTCACAGCCCCCAGGGAGAGACGCCCTTGGCAGGAGTGAGCAATGGCCAGGCGTCTGCTGCCTCTCAGGCCCCCCAGACCAGGGCTCCAACCGGGATTGGGGTCTGCTCACCCACTCTGAATGCCTCCTGCAGGACTCATTCCCGCTGAGCCTCCAGGAGGAGCTGTCCCCTGCCAGCTGCCACCAAGCCCGGGGGCTGGAGCAGCGTCTGCCAGTCCTGAGGGCGGTTGGGTTTGCTGCTCCATCTTCCTCTCTGTTTTCTCCATGAATTTAATGATGGCAGCAAACAGCTGAGGTTTCCCTTCTCACTTGCACACAGGAGGGGAGGGAGTTTGGAAAAGGTGCAGCTCTCCCCTTCGAGCATCTGTGTGTAGAAGCACCGTGGGAAAACGTGGAATGGGTGACCCACATCGTGGCACGGGAGGGTAAGCTACCACTTGCCGTGCCAGCACTCATCCCAGCCGCTCCACTTCCTGTCCAGCTCCCTGCGAAGGGCTGGGCCCTCTTCTGCTGCTTTCTCAGGTGCACTAGCAGGGAGCTGGACCAGAAGTGGAGTAGTGGAGACTCTCCGGCATGCTGGCATCCTAGGCAGTGGCTTAACCTGCTGAGCCACAACGCCGGCCCCCAGCCCCTGGATTTCCATATCACATGTCACTTTGTTCTTGAACTTTGGCCGTCACTGAGTGTGTTAACCAGAACTCCTTTGGTTGCAAGGGATGTGGGGATGAACAGCGAAGCGTTTCTTGATCTTTATCAACTGCTAAGCTGATGCGGCTTCCAGGCTGGCATCCCACTCCTTCTCCCACTCGGACTCTGCCCCAGAGCCCGTCTGATGGGAGTCGTCCGTGGAAGGGGCCAGGCCAGATATCCAACGCTGGGGCATCGTCCCTGCGGAAGACGCAGGTGCAGAATCAGGTGGGTCCCAGCCTGGGCAGGAGGGAGAGTACCTCTGGCTGCGTGGGGCCCACCTGCGGCCCCCAGGGCAGGAGGCGGTCCCCAGACAGACCTGGGAGCCGTGGCGAGCCCAGCGCTGCAGAGCAACCTCAAGCTCAGCTCTTCTGGCCGCGAACCTAAGTTGGAAGCGACTTATCCGCCAGCAGCCCCAGGCCGGGGGTGTTCAGTGGGATCTCACTGGGGCGTCCGCTCCGCCACCCACCAGAATCCGGGCGGAGAAGTAAGGAGAGGGGGTGCGAGGGGAGGGCCCGCGCAGCCTCTCTGGGCTCTGACAAAAGCAGTCGGCCCGGGACGCTTTCCTTGGCTCCCCACGGCAACAGCTAAAATTACTCCTCGTGCCTCAGAAATTCCGAGGCCACCGCAGCCTCTGCATTCTTAGCCACGGCTGGATTCCTTGTAAATATTAT